CAAGGCAGAACATCAGTGCCCAGGCGGGTTACTTCAGCCATTACTAATCCCATAGTGGAAGTGAGAACATATCACCATGGACTTTGTGATAGGGTTACCCAAGGCATGCTCAAGACATGATGTCATTTGGGTAATTGTTGACCGACTTACCAAGTCTTCCCACTTCTTGGCCATTAGGATGACTGATCCCCTGGACAAGTTAGCAAGAATATATATCCGGAAAATAGTCAGATTGTATGGAGTCCTAGTGACAGTGGTGTCCGACAGGGACCCCCGGTTCACTTCTCGATTTTGGAGTAGCTTCCAGCAAGCCATGGGAACAAAGTTGTCCCTCAGTACTGGCTTCCATCCTCAGACTGATGGACAGTCAGAAAGGACAATCCGTACAGTTGAGGATATGCTTTGAGCTTGTGTCATTGACTTCGGGGGCCATGAGGATGACCATCTACCCCTGATAGAGTTCACTTACAACAACAACTACCAAGCGAGTATTTACATGACTCTGTATGAGGCATTATATGGGCGGTTATGCAGATCGCCAATTTGTTGGGAAGAAGTAGGCGATAGAAAATTATTCGGCCCGGAGCTAGTAAAGGAGACTACATCCAAAATAACTAAGATTATGAAGAACATTCAAATGACTCATATTATGCACAAGAGTTATGCGGACGCCCGGATGATAGATTTACCGTTTGAGGAAGGCGACCGGGTGTTCCTTAAGGTCACTCCTTTTAAGGAAATCCATAGGTTCAAAATCAGGGGGAAACTGAACCCCTGATTTATTGGACCTTTTGAAGTCCTACACATGACTGGGACTGTCCCCTAGGGACTACCACTGCCTCCAGAACTTTCTAAGGTCCACAATGTGTTTCATATGTCCATGCTACGTAAGTACAACCCGGACCCCTCTCATTTCTTGGCCCACGAACCTCTACCACTCAAGGAGGACTTATCCTACGAGGAAGTACCAGTCGACATTATGGATCGAAAGAGCAGATTACTCCGCAACCGGAAAATATCTTTCGTAAATGTCATATGGCAAAAGCACACACTAAGGGAGGCTACATGGGAGCTAGAATCAGACTTTAGAGCCAGTACCCCCAATTGTTCGATCGAGAGTAAGAGGCAAATTTGAGGGACCAAATTTTCTTTTTTTTAGGGGGGGGGGGGGGGGGTTGTAACACCTAATTATTTTTATTATTTTTATTTTATTTTATTTTTATTATTTTTATTTTATTTTATTTTTATTATTTTTATTTTATTTTATTTTTATTATTTCTATATAAATATAAATATGTATTAATTGAATTTATTTTATTTTAATTTGATTAAATGAAAATAATAGTAATAATAATAATAAAAAAATGAAAAAAATAAAAATTTGAGTTCTGGAGGTATTTTTGAAAGAAAAATAAAAAAACGGGGGTCAAAATATAATTTAAAAAAGTTATACTACGTCAGCAGCCCGGTCAGTAGCTTCGACCGACTAGGACGTGCTAGGTGGCAGAGACACTGACGTGGGATGCCATGCAAGGGAGCCACGTGGGTGATCCACGTGCGTACGATCGAACAACTGAGATCCGTTCTCCCGCGCACGGACGACCCAAATTGAATCGCGATGAACGATCCAGGTTCACTCCCTATTTAATCGCGATAGGACGGTTCAGATTAAAAGCGATGGATGGCCCAGATCAAAAGTAGATGGATACAAATAAGCCCATCCGCACCCAAACCCTAACCTTAGCCACCAGAGTCTCTAGCCGGAGAAGACAACCCAGCCGCCGGGGAGCCGACCACCGCCACTCGCCACCACACCGGAGCAATTTTCGACCGCCAAATGAGGTAAAAATTTTATCATTTGCTTATAATTTGATTTCAAACCCACCCATGGCCAAATCGGAGTGAAAAAACTGACCAATTGGTCAGAAAGCGCCGCTGAAGTTCAGCGGCGCTGCCACGGGTGTTTCGATTTTTGCCTCCGATGAGGCCCTTCCCGATTCCGGTTCGATGTGATTTTTTCACCATTGTGATAACCGTTTCCTCCTCTACAGGTTGATCGGAGCAAAATACCCAATCGCAATATTAGTCGAAGGAGCTTCCGCACCAGAGAGCTCCACCGCCGGTGAGTTTCGATTTTCTACGTTTTTTCAGTCCACCGAGGGCCCTAAGTGTGTTTTCTCACAAAAATCGATGCAAGTTTGGATGAATTCGACTGAAAACGATCGAAAACAGCCAACCTGAGGCGGATTGCCTCTGCGGGTGGCGGCGCCGTTGCCGGAGCACGCGAAGCCACCGTGCCAAATTTTTGAAATTGGCCAAGTAGGCCCTGGGACTGATTTTGGGTTATTTGGGACATTTGTAGGTACCATAAGCGCGTTTCAGTTCGCGAAGAAAAATTCAGGGATCCCAGGGACTGCCCGTAGGCGCAGTAATCATCTAGTTTTCGGCGTCAAATCAAGTAAGGAGGCACCCTATTTCGTATCATAGGATTGAAGTTTGAATAAATGATAATACTATATTTTGTACAAATTAAATAGATATACATAATTAATTAAGGTTGCTAATGGAGCCCGAACCGGACATTATTCTCTGTCGATTTCTGTTTGATTTATTTTACAGTTTAAATGCATTATGGTATCTAGTTTATCTATTTTATAGTTTTAAATGCATGTAGTACTGTCTTACTTGACCGCTGTGTGATTTTGGAATTTAAGGTATGATTGTATTACCAGGTGCATGTTTATTGTTTATGTGATTATGTTTAACTTGGTAACGGAGACTAAGAGAAAACAGATAAGGTGACAGCCTCACTAGATATCCTGGGAGATGGTGGACGGACCGGGTTCATAGAGAATCCTACCGTGAACGTTATCTCATACCGGACGGGGTATTGAAACTTAGTCATTTGGCGTTAATACCGGACGGGGTATGGGGACGGCCCGCTTCACCCTCATACCGGACGGGGTATTGAGGTTTAATGTCTTGGTACTCATACCGGACGGGGTATGGGGACGACCCTGGAATTAAATTTGTTAAGGAGAATGGTTCACATGTAGCAGGGACACCCCTATGGATCCCCATGGATACTAGTAGGCTGGTGAAAACGAGAAACGGTGATAATCAGTTATTGTTAATGAATACGGATTTATGATATGTTTTATGTTATTAATTATACATGAAATTGTGATATGTATGATATTACTGTTTCTGTAATTTATTTCCATAAATTCTCCGATGGTAAAAAAAATGGTAAATTATTTTATTTTAAATAAATGTATTAGTTTAAATCTACTGCTCTATTGGTTGTTTTGATTTTCTACTAGTCTCTACTTCTGTGACGGTGATCTAGTGTAGCTCATTCCTTATTTAACTATTTCAGATTAGGAGGACCTGGTTCACGAGCCTGATCCACAAGAAGACTGCGAGTAGAT